GAGTATATCTGGCTGTTAGGCCAATTACAGAGATCCAACTGATATCTTTTTAACCCGCCTCAACTCCCGATGGCACCGAATGTCAGATAGGATCACTACTTTGGAAGCTTGTTGGCGCAAAAAAGGTTAGACGCGTCTCTTTTACTGGCCAGCAATGGAAGAGATCGAGGGTAAGGTCAGCCGTTTGGCTGTTGGGGCCGACGGCGTAATTGATGTTGGTTCCAGATTCTTTTGTGGCCCCCCACACAGGACATGAATATAGAAACAGCCCCGTGCAGTTATATTTGTAATAAATCCCAAACAAAATAACCTGACGTTTGAGTTTCAGATATAAATCACGGCTAGGATTAGTGTTAGCTATAAAAATAATGACTGAGCGTGAGTTTTGGATAAGTATTACGACTTACGTTTAGGGATATAAGGGATGATTTTGGGATTAAGACACAGGGATAATTGCCTTTCCGTGAGTTAAGTACAGGACCATCTTTTTTATTTGAATAGACCTTCCTATTTCCTTCTAGTTAGGAAGCCATACTAGCCATACTTTACAACATTACTTATTGATTCAGAATCAACGAAAGTTTGCATGAAGTTGGAAAATAAGCGGTGCACAAATGTTGCAACAGCTGGGAGTGAGCGCATTATTAGCAAAATAATGATAATTAAAGCAACAACGGAGTGCAAATTTCTAAACTGCTTGGAGTCAGCGCCATCCAAACCTACAAGAAGGCGCATAGCCTGTTGCCAGAGAATTTGACAGAGCAGCGGATGCATGAATGAAGGTCTGAGGCCTCATTCAAAAGGGTTCATGCCTGTGCTGTCAACGTAATTACATTATCAGAAGCAATCTTCTTTGTGAGAAAGATGACCAGCGAGCTGAAGAACTTTACTGAACTTCGGGGGGCGTTCCTCTTCATGGTTCGTTAGCTCATTGCTATTTATCTCATGGTCAAATACCATGCAATCTAGAAACGCGCGACTTGCAACGGTAGCTCAGCTGTGCGATCAGATAGTAGACGTCCTTTCATCATATTAAACTGAAAATATTCACTTCGTAAGGCATGTGGGTTATTGAAGGATTCTCAGTCATACATCCCATGCTAGAATAGCCCATTAAAATCACAACGTTGTTGGGGTTTTAAAAATCAAGCGGCATGTCGCCGATTGACCAACGCTTTAAAGGCCAAAACGAAGCATAGCTACGATCATGTGGCCTTTCGCAGGCGCACAAAAATAATGAAGCTGCTTATTCTTCGCATATGTCAAAAGAGATGCCAAGTTACGAAATGCCAAATTAGTCAGGTCGGAGATTCCAGCGTCATTTTAGTGACTTAGCAACTACCGTTAGTTCTTCATAACAACCTTTGGAAATATTCGAACGGAGAATGTTTCTGACTAACGAGATCGTTATGGTATTTGCCATCTCGATTCATTCGGATTGATTGGTCGGAACCATTCAAATACTGCTAAGACAATATGGTGTGAAGGAAAACCGTTTGGTTCATGTTCGAATATTTCACATTCTGGTGACCTGTGTCAAAATGTATTTTCTTATCGGCAGTTCTATCTCAAAAGGTGGAAGAGAGTGCAGCCGACAAACATGAACCAACATGAACCACAATAAGCGTCCACACCGGATGACCTGGATTGACCCGGATTGACTTAAATTACAGTTTCCAATTAGCCATTACGCCATTGCAACGGCTACTCATGTCCACCACGATGTGACGCAAATTGTTACTCCCAATTAACGCCCACTACAGATGACTATATAACTGTATCAGCACTTTGAAATGCTAACTGTTTTTTGCACATTACTCTCAAGTCTGAGGACAACCTGAGGATCCAGTGTCGAAAATTTACTGAACAAAACTTATGCATTTTCCCAAAGGACACCTTCCCTTGAAAAAACAGCTATAACAATGCCAACTGCGATGCCGATTTCCATTATCGGGATGTTCATGCCACAGCTCTTCTGGTGTCTTCGAACGAAATATTGGGTTGTGTTTTAGATTGATGCACTCACTGGCTGCCGAACGGGAGCAGTTGTTAACGGTGGCAGATCTAAACAATCTGTCTTTGCGGAAATCAAATTCAAAATAGAGGAGAGAGAAAATGACTAAGAGACTGTCAAAGACAAAGCAATTACTAGACGTCAGTAATAACTACGCAATAATCTACAAACGCAGTGATTTGATAGGACTGTATCAGCGTGTTTACATACAGTGAAGTGAGGCAGAAGACAAGGCCGGTGAATTATAATGCTGGAGCTAGCTGATTTACCGATATGCGCAATGAAGATGCGCAAAACCCATTTGCACCCATTCAAATGAAGGCGAACACTCTTATGCTTCAAGGACTTTTTGAGGATCATTAAATACTTACTAGGTTATTTACCTCTAGGAGGCATCCCAACTGGAGGCAACTATCGGACACCAAGGTTGTACCATTGGGTATATCTGCTGCGCTAGGGGATAGGGCGGCTATAAAATTATGAAAAGCTATATTATTCCGGACAATTATGGTCTAGCAATAAGCGGGAATGATAATTGATGACATAGAATCTCGAACCGTTGTTTATAAGATTGGAAACCGCCATAGCTGCAATGCTACCGATACTGGCATGCTTTTGAGGAGCGACAAAGACGTGAACTGCCAGTTGTTTTAGTTCTATTTCTTCAGATCGCATTCTGTCAATGATCCCAGTGACTTGCCCTCTTTTCTGTTCTCCACCTTTGTCTGGAAGCCAATTAAACATGAAGCAACCGC